ACACACGTAATGCTGTATAGAAGTTCGAAGAAACGCATGGAGTCTTCGTACATGCATAAGTAAGTTCCAGAGATAATGCGAAAGCTCCTTTGAAAGGACCCATATGACACAACAGAAGTTTAAACTTGTTCTTCTGCTTCTTCTTTATTTGGCCTGATATACACACAATTACACACACCTACCTAACAGATAACTAATTAATAATTAGGTTTTACTATTGGAATTATGAGTCTCTCACCGACCTATTCTAATTAATACTTATCTTTGTGATTGACAAATTTTGTTTGGGCTTTATGCAAGGGGTTTGTAGCTCAAGTAATTAAGAGCATTTATCGGTGTATTTGAGATCAGGTTCGATTTTCCTTTCCCGGTTTGTATTACAAGGAAAAAAATAAAAATTTGTTTGAGATTTATAATATAAAAATGGGTAGTTGCCGTGAATGTTTAGGAGTCATGTTTGGTTATGAGAAGTGGCACTTCCCCAAGTTCGGTTTTCACTAACTTTTAATTTAATGTGTTCTTATTTATTTATTTATTTTCTCTTAACGTTGAAAGACCTTGAATAGATGACCTCCCAAAAGAGAAATTGAGTTAGAAGTTTCATGATTTTGGTAGAGAAATTGAGTTAGAAGTTTCATGATTTTGGTAGTGAATGCATAGAGAGTCTCTTTCAAAGAGTTTTAGTTTGATTGAGCTAGGGAGACATGTGGCCGTGGGCTAGCCATTGAAGCATGAGAAACACATCGATGCTTCTGTATATTTTTTGATCCCTTTGTTAGGGCACTTCCAGCAGTTGAAATCTTGCCATGGCAAAGGGGGGCTAGGGCTGACACTATTCACGGGAATAGTGTCTGCCTTTGCAAAAAGTAAGTTCCACTTTCAGCAGTTGCCATGGCAAGGGGGGGTACTATTCAATTTTTTGTTTTTTTCACAAATTTGTTTACCTAAACAATTAATTTGGACAAAATATTCGGATGAGATTTTCTGATAAAATATTCGGATAAGATTTTCAGTTTCAAATTTTAGATAAATTTTTTTAGAGTTGAATAATTAAACTTGAAAGTGAAAAAAATTTAGAGTTGAAAGTGAAAAAATTATTGAGTAAAAAGTGAATAATTAAACCTGAAAGTGAAAAATTTAGAGTTGAAAGTGAAAAAATTATTGAGTAGAAAGTGAATAATTAAACTTGAAAGTGAAAAAAATTTAGAGTTGAAAGTGAAAAAATTATTGAGTATAAAGTGAATTTGTTGTTAAAAGTGAAGAGTATGAATTGGTATTTATAGAAAAAAATTCAGTATCTTTTGGGGTTTTTTTAAAATTTTTTACAATTTTTTTCATAATTTTTTGCCTTGAAAAATTCCAGGCCGTTGGATTGGATGAAAAATCGGAAATCGGAATGACCAGGTTGCGCCACGTGGCAGCGGAAAGAAAAAAGATTTAATTGCGCCTGCTAACATCACGCTGACGTCAGCCTGCCTTCGGGCTGGAGCTCGGGCTCTCCCTACCTTCGGGCCAGCCCAGGCTCGTGGACCCCACTCTGCCCAAGCCAGCCTTTGTTGCTGGAACTTGCATTTGGGCTCTTGCACCCCCCCCCCAGCCCTCGCCCTCGCCCTCGGGGGCTGCTGGAAGTGGCCTTATAGGTGTGTAGAGTGACGGAGACAAGCCAAAAACCATGCCAAAAAAGTTTGATGAAGAGAAACGTGGAAGCTTCATTTAGACTGTTGGTGTAATTGCATACGTAAATTCCAGATTTCAGTGGGCGCCGTAGTTGGGACAAACTCTTGCAACAAACATTCAAACAGGTTGAAAGAAGCAATCAAAACGACAAACTAGAGCCACATTAAAGCAGCTGACAGCAAAAGCATGAGAAAGCACCTTTTGAAAAACCCAAATTTTGATGTGATATTATAATCATTAAGGACATGTACCCTTTTATCCTAATGCATGAATTGTCCTTAATTATGTCAAGGAGTGTTATTATTGCTTAAAGCTATTCTGAGAAAAGTAAAAGCAGATTTTTGTATAGAAGGTTTCATCTCCTCCTCCTGTTTCATTGTCCTCTATTACCTTATTGTACAAAAGTTCAAAAAAGGTCAAACTTAATCAGCCAAAATTAATGCACAAATATAAGAGGGTGGTAGGATTGGGCCCTTCATTTCTTCAAAAGAACAAGTGCAAAACATCATAAACACGATTAACAATACAAGAGTATACCAAAGAAAAATTGCTGATACTTGAATTGAAACATTCAAAAATTGCTCATCACTAATATAAACATATTCAAAAATTGCTAATAATTACTATTAACATTCAAAAATAGCTATCCAGTGGTTTTAAGATAGCAAAATTGGCACTTAGCCAGCATTCGATGCCACATGGCTATCTTGTATTTGTAAAAGGATTTTTTTTAATAATTTTTTTTTATCACAATTGGTCTTGAAATTTTTAAAAGTCCTCATTTAAGTCCTTAAACTTTTAAATCAATCAATGCAGTATGTAGACATCAGTTTGTTCCCTCTCATCACATTTTGTCAAAATCTTTGTGAAAATTGGTTGCATGACCAACATTAAAGGGTATGTTCATAAAATATAACCTATATCCACCCATGAAACACAGTAAATATTGTGTATTTTACTCAAGAAAGGTATCTACTCTCCATGATGGAGCCTAAATGTGTGAAATCATAATTAGATATGGCATTGTTGAGCAAAAACATGAGTTCTATTTATATGATAATATCTCTTTAAATTTGGTCATGGTGATGATATGTGACCAAATTTAATGAAAGTTTTTTTTTGTTTTTTTGTTTTTGTTTTTGTTTTTGAATCTGACATTAGTGACGAAATTGATATCTAGACTAAAAGATGAAGGATTACATTGATTGATTTAAAAGTTTGAAAACTAATTAAAATGAGAACTTTAAAAAAGTTCAAGGAGAAAATAATTATTTTGTTTGAAACGAGAAGGAGAAAATAAAGGAGGAAGAGAAGTAGAGGTAATGTTCACCATTAGAATGGCAAGTGTACCGTATCTTGACAGTATTGCCATTATGTTTTGGATCAAGCTGAACAAAGAGCTCACTTTGGGCCTAAGTAATGGACTTTGGAATAGTCCTTGTAGCTTAATGAATAGGCGTGCCACTATTTGTTACTCGGCTAAGCCCAATAAAAAGATGTGTAACTGGTCTATTGTTTGAACTGTTTAAGATTCACGCTCAATTTCTTAACTGCTAATCAAGCCACTGTGCTCCCAGTGAGGAATTGGCTCAAATTAGTTATTTTTAATATCTTGTATGATTAAAGATTAATATTCTACTTTGTACGCTGGTAAGATAGTATCTGATACAACACCATGCAAATCAGGCTACACTACCCCAGATCAGGCAACTGCTCGATATGAATTTTATACTATTGCAGTTGCTCGATTTGAGCTTTATGAGATGACAAAGAGTAAACAGATTTATATTGAGATTGAAATGGGCTAGAATAAAACTTGGAACTAAAGATTTCTCTATTCAGTTCATGATACAAGAATTAGATGAATGTAAAAGAATTTAGAAGACTAATTCTATAAACTAGGAATCATACTGGATGTTGGTAGAGCAATAAACAAAAGAAATCTTAAAATAAAGAAAATATAATCCGATTTCAATGAGATAAAGTGTTGATCAAGTTTGAAGTCTTTCTGTAAGAGAGATTGTACGTCCCGTGCACTTCCAAATTGCTAGTATACATAGCCTTCTTGGCATTTGTATATGCATGTTCGGTGATAAGATGGACGAATTTATTGACAAACCTTCTTTTATGGGTGAGTTGGTGAACTCAAATGCCCTTGATTCTTGAGCTTACGATGAGAATTGGCTTTAGTCGAGTCCTTTACTGACAAGTTAGTTCAGTAGGACTTCAACGCTCAAATCGCATTTAATGCGGTTGCTCCTTGGTTTAGCGCTTGAAATCTCCCTAGTTGTCAAGCTCAGTCGAAATCCTTTGAGTAAATGTATTTAGACTATGTATTTAAGTAGAAGACCAGATGCAAAGGACCCAATAGTGTAATGGTTTGGAGTAAATGCTCCCCAAAGGAAATGTTTTGGGTTCAAGTACTAACATCCTTGTAGTGTGTGTAAATTTAGTATGTTATTGCCTCTCTCAACAGGAAAGGTCCTGAAATAAGTAAAAGAAGTTTGGGCTGCAACTATTAGGCCCATGGTTTAGCCTACTTCAGAACTTACTTCTTCCTTTACTTTGGGTAGAAACCATGACTTTTTGGCCCAAAGCTCATCAGAAACCCAAATAATTTTGAATGGGCTCATTTTCTATTTTTTTTCTAAAGAAGTATTTTACGAATAGGCAACAAAATGACTAAGTCCCCTAGTGCAAGACCCTGAATAAGTCAGATGTGCCATGGCATGGTTGGATGTCTTGGACCATGCTAAGGAAAGGAGGATGTACAACAGGTGGTGCACATTGAGACAAGGCAAGTGAAGGTTTGAAGTGTGTCTTTGGCTTAGAATAGGCAGCAAAGACATTGGATGTGAACATAAAGTACAACATACTTGGAAGCAGCCTATGCAACTTGGCTCGATAGCTATCAACAAATTTCCTCGACAACCGTCAACAAATACTGGCAGATGCTGTCGATAACACTTGGCAGATTATCTTGGCAGGCATCGACAACACTTGATAGATCCTCTCGGCAGCACTCGAAAACACTCAACAAGCGGTGTCGACAAATGAAAACAGATTGTGCAGCTTGGACAAACATTATGTTGGGTAGTTTCTCAATGGTTTGTGATGGTTTCCTAGCTGTTTTTAGTGGTTCTAAGTGGCTTGAACATGCATGTGAGTGGCACCATGGGTACTTGGATGTGGCAAAGGTGTAAACGGTTACCAAATTGTGGTTACCAGCACTTGTAGCATGATCCAGAATTCGTGGGTGAGGTTTTTAGAGTGTAAAATGTCCATTAAGGGTACAGACATGTTGGGAATGCGCCAAAAAAGCCATGGGTAGTTACTTGAGCAAATTGCAATCATGAAATGGTAAACTAGGGTGCTGCCAGCAAGTCCTATCGGTTGGGGATGTTAACCATATACTAATGTGTTGGATGCCGAGTGGTGCAGTAAAGCCTAGCAGTTGGGGGTTGAGTTACCAGGTCGTTGTGGTAACCCAACTAAAAAAGAAACTTGTGTTTCCTTGCTATTTGAGAATTAATAGAGGGTTTGGAGTGCGTACCAATAAACTCTGTGTTTGTTTACTTGATAGTGCAAGTTTTCTTGAATGTGTGGGAGTTGTCACTTATTCCGCTATGTAAAATAGCATAAAGTGTGAAAATGGGTGTGTAAGTTGATCTTAGAAGGTTTCTAAGAGCTAAGCAAGGGTAGAAAATTAAGAGGCTTTTTTCACCCATTTTATAGCTGGTATCAGAGCTTGTTGAGTCACGTTTTTGTGTATGTGGAGAGTGCGAATTGTCCCCTGGGATCCGATGGAGTTGTGGCATTTTCGAGCACGGTACAGACTTGAATTTTCAATTGAGTGAGAGAATGACTAGTGGAAGCGGTTCCTTGAAGGATAGGGTGACTAGGATTGAAGTTTATCTTCGCACACCAATGAGTGATGATGCATTGAGTGTGGCAATGCGACTGGAGGATCTCCGTGTGAAGATGGCAGAGATTCAAAAGTCTTCAGAGAATTGAAGGCTTCGATGGAGAGGAAAGTCACTGAAGTTCTAGGTTGCATGGATGGCTTAGTTGAGGCCATAGTAGCATAACTTAAGGATGTTGAGACTGAATTAGGTGTGATCAAACTTGCTGGGAGCGAGGCTTGAGCCAATAGGGTCCAAGCATGACAAAGATCAAAGTGCCTGAGCCTAAGGCACATGTTGGCGAGCGAAGTGCCAAAGAGTTGACTAATTTCGTGTGGGACATGAAGCAATACTTTAAGGCTACCAAGGTTTCGAATGTTGATAGGGTGTTCATTACGAGCGTGTACTTGGCAGAGCCTTCCATGTAATAATGCGTGGATTGCAAGGGAGTCCTTGAAGAACTTGAAGTAAGTGGGCTTAGTGAGGGACTACGTGAAGACTTTGTGTTCTTGGATGCTAGATGTGTCCAACATGTCGGAGGAAGACAAGCTATTGAACTTCCTCATGAATTTGCAGTCTTGGGCGCAATCGAAGTTGAGGAGACAAGATGTTGGAGACCTTAACTCCGCCATTGCTATAGTGGATAGATTGATGGATTATTAGGCAGCAGTCACCTGGAGTGGGAAGAATGATGTTGGTAGGAAAAAGCACTCGGACAACAAAATTGCTGAGAAAGGAAATGAGCTTGTTTTTGTCTCGAGTGGACCCAAAGGTGACGAGCAGAAGGACAAGTAGAAGTTCTCGAGTTGCTTCATTTGCCAAGGGCTTCATCGCATGAAGGATTTTCCAAAGAAACAGAGTTTGAACACAATCGTGGGTGATAAAGAGGGAGGTGTTGAAGAAGATAGCAGTCTCCAAGTTCCAATGGTGCTGTTGAATGCACTAATGGTTATGCCACCGGAGAATCCATTGGGATTTGATGCTATTAGGCCGCTGGCATTAGAGGTGATCGAGTTGAGTGTGTGGGAGTTGTAACTTGTTTCGGTGCGTGTAAAACAGCCTCAAGTATGAAGAGGTGTGTGAGAGCTGATCTTAGAAGGTGTCTATGAGCTAAGCAAGGGTACAAAAATTAAAGGCATTTTTCACCCTTATTACATGTAGTATCGTTCTTTCACAAATGAGAAACTCTTTATTTGCTAATTATTGTTTAGTTTATTACAAGCGTAATTGAGCAATTCATTAGTGTTTTTTTTATAGTAAATTTACATTTTCCCCTTGAAACTCATGTTTTCTTAGCTACAACCCATCACCTTATTTTTTTATAAATAAAACTCAGACCTTATTTCTTACATGCAACCCATCAGCTTATTAGATCAATAGAAATAACAGTACAAAGGACACACACTGTGAAAGGAGCCATCCAATAAAAATATAACAAACATGGGTAAAACTTCCCCAGTCAGCAGAACCAGCCAAAAAACTGAAACGATCTAGAGACAATCACTCTCAAAAATAACTTTTCTATAATTCCCTATACTGCCATTATTTTCCCGAATCTAATCCAATGACATTAAGTATAAAAAAACATAAAACTCATAGAGTTATGGTTATTGAACAAACTAAACCAAAATAAAAAACTAAAACAACATCGACAAAAGGAAAAACCAACCATCACTAATTTTCCTTCGGGACATGACATAGATAGCACTATCTAGTTACTCTAGGGCCTCACCTCATCAATGAGCAGTAGATCTATCATGACCAATCCGCAACACCTCGAAGAGCAACCTCACAAGATGAGGCACAACCAAAGCCATCCCATATATGAGACAATAGATATGCCAAAGGAAGAGTAGATTGGCATAAGGCCTCCAAAAGCGGAAAAACACTGAAGATCCAACGGGTTTCGGGGGAAAAAACCCCCCAAATCTAAAGCTTTCTCTTTTTTTTTCTCTCTCTCTCTCTCTCTTAGTGGCTAGACTTTTCTCTGCTAACAGTATATGAAGACATGATTACAGAGAGGAAGAAGGAAGAAGAAGAAGAGAGAACAAAGAAGAGTCTAGAGAAATTGTAGAGAATGAACAAAACGATTTTCCAACTGTCAAACTATTGCAACATAGTTTATATACTTAGTAGCAGTTGACTAAGTAACTATGCTAACCAACTAGTTTATATATGTACTAACAACTGGCTAACTATACTACACGTGCTTCTTCTAACAATTCCAACAATCTCATGAGATTGCTGCAATGTTTGTTCAAGACTGGACCATGAAGACCTTTAGTTAAGATATCAACAATTTGATATTCAATGGGAAGATATTGGACCAGAAAATATTTTCATTGGACTCATTCCCTGACAAAATGGAAATCGATATCCAAATTTTGGATGTGAGAGTGATCGACAGGGTTAGAGATTAAGGCCAATGTAGACAAGTTGTCACAGTATAAGAGAAGAGGTTCTAGTAGATATACATGCAAATCAACAAGAAGGTGACGAATCCCAACTACCTTAGATGCAGTATTGGCTAATGCACGATACTCAGCTTTAGTTAAACTTTGAGACACTGAGCTCTGCTTCTTTGACTGTCAGGATATGGGATAGGGCCCGAGAAATACAACAAATGCAGTAGTGATTGCCACTACTCTTGATACCATGCTAACAGTATATGAAGAACATGATTACATGGGAAGAGAGAACAAAGAGGAGTCTAGAGAAATTGTAGAGATTGAAGAAGATAATTTTCTGATTAACTCTTAAACTATTATAGCATAGTTTATATACTTAGTACCAGTAGTTACTGATTAATTAACCATGCTAACCAACTATGTCTACTAACAGCTGGCTAACTATAATACACATGATTGTTCAAACAATTCTAACAATCACATGTGTGAACACATCTATTCAATTAACCACTGGCACGTGGCACTCCATCATTCTAACCATTTTTGGTAAACATTCTCCTTATAAAATCTTGACTTTTATAAATAAAACACGATGACTAAGATCCAACTAAGCCAGATACCTAATCAGCTACGTACAAATCTAATTTATTGTACTTTTTATATTCCAAAAATTCAATTTTCATTCCATCAATTGTTACCACCTTCTCTTTAATTCAAATTTCATTTATAGACTAATGTACCCATTCTTTTAAATTCAAAACTAATATGTGCCAATTTTAAATTATATTTTAAATATAAGTAATAAAAATATAGGTAAATTAATATACATGGTCTAGCGAAAAACATAAAGAATTATAGGTGAATAATTTACTTATATAATGTAGGTAAATTAGGGACCTGAAAAATAAAGGTGCATACAGATAAATAGTGAACCTATATCTTTACCTTGATGCCTTATGTAACATTGGGTGGTGGTGGCAGTGGAAATCACGTTGAGCAATCGCAGCATGTCATGTCACTTGCCTCCTTAAGCAGAAATAAGTTTCATGCTTGAACTTTTCAACCATGGTGCTAGGTATGAAGGGATGTGTGGGAGGGAGGGAGGGTGTAGAACTTGGAGATAGATGGGTGGTTGAGGAAGGAATGGGCGGGTGGGGGCTAGGTATAGAGGCAGTTGTGGGAGGAGAGGGAGAGTGGGGGGCTAGGTAGGTTTTTTTAAATTTAGTTTTATAATAAATCTTTTCAATTATTTCATTTGTAATGTTTTTTTATAAGTTTTTAAAATTTTTTAAATAGAGTATATCAGGCGGGCATTTTTGGTTGTTAAATAGGGTGTACATAGATCATAGGGTGTACTTAGTTAATTTTAAGGTTCGTTTAGTAGGACTCTAAATTTAACCTTTTGCAACATTGGAAAAACAATAATAAATGAGACGGTAAGTGTCATAAATGTATTGAATAGAGGGATTCTATAGTTGACTATAAATTGATGAGCAATTCATATGATTACTCTTAATGGACCATATCGCCAAGCCTATAGCATGGTGCCACGTGGTCAGTGAAGTAGACACCCCCGCATGTCGATTCGACCCGACTCGCCGTGATGGGTCACAACCTCAAAAGCAAACCTACCGACCCGATCATATCATAGGCCTTGCCAAACCAAGGTCGGCTGGATGACATTTGCTTACGGTCAGAACCACTCGAGACATATACTTGGGTAGAGTTCCCTAAGATCCCTCTCAATTGAACCTGGGAAGCAAATCAAGCTGACTAGAGAATCTAGGGAAGATCGCTTCTCTAGACAAGTTAAACCACGTGGGTGTTAGGATAAGACTGAAAGGGAGCACTTCATGCACTTCAAATCTAGTCCAGGTGTTGTCCCACTGCTGGTCCCCGGAAATCAGCATGGTGACTGACGTCTACATCCACTCTCTTATCCTAGCATGGTTGGTGGCTGAAGATCTCTTCTAGGTTGGATTTAAGGAGATATGGTCCCCCTTTCTTCCCATATAAATACGCTTCACCTACATTGAGACAGGGGAAATAACTCCATTTTTTAGAAAACTCCACTCATTCCCTCCCTCAAGAACATCATCAATTCAGCCCCTAAGTTAGGCATCAGAGGGGATTTAGTTGGTACCACACTGGTACCCTCTTTCAATAGTCTCTCTTGTTGTTTAGAGTGTGCAAGTTGTTCTAAAGGATTAGAGGGACCTCCCTAGTCAGATAGTTCGCCGGGGTTCGTCCACTTAGGGTTTGTTTAACCCATTGCTCACTACTACATTTTACACTTTGCGCGACAAATGAATTTTCGTCGCGCAAAGTAGAATTTCATCGCGCAAATATCAGAGCAACAAATAATTCCTCACGCCTATACAGTCGCACAAAGATCGTGAAGAAAGACTTTGCGCGACTAAGTTTTTCAATTGGTCGCGCAAAAACCAAATATTTACGGACGACAAAGTCCTTGGTCTCAGAATTATTTGCGCGACGAAAACATTTGCATTGGCGAAATTTCAGCGCGACGAAACACATTAGTGTCGTAAAAGTTTGCAAGAACGAAACAGGGCCGTCGCGCATTTTGTCTCACAAGCTATTGCGCGACCAATATGCGCGACGGAACTAGTTGGTGTCGTAAAATTTTGTGCGACGAATAAGTGGTTTCATCTCACAAGCTATTGTGCGACCAAATATGCGTGACGGAACACGTTGGTGTCTTAAAATTTTGTGCGACGAAAAGGGGCCGTCGCGCATTTCGTCTCATAGGAGATTGCGTGACTAGATTTAATGCGCGACGACAAGTTCTTGTCGTGCACTTTCTTTGTGTGAGACGAAAGTTTTTGTTGCGCCAAGAAAAATAAACCTTGTGCGACGAAATATGTTTCGTCACGCAAATTTAAAAAATATATTTTTGATTTAAATTTATTTTACTGCAATGAAAAAATGTTTTTTTTTTTTTTTTTTTTTTTTTTTTTTATTGAAATGAAAATGAAATGAAGAGATAAATTTTGTTATAAAATAAATGTATAAAATACAATAGAAATCTTTAAAATGTAAAAGTAAAAAACTAATGAAACAAGTTTCCAAAATCTACTTGATCTTCAGGCGAATACGGCATGGAAGTCTGGGCATTGTCGATAGGGGCAGAGGTGTGGTGGCCATGCTCGGGTTGGATGGGCTTAGAGGTCGACGAGGGAGTAAAAGGTGGTATGGGAACGCTGGCCTGGGCGAGGGACTGTAGAAACTGTGTCATCCGGGCCATTTGGGTTTCAAGCATAGTCACCTTTGCCGTCAAAGCCGCAGTTGCCTGACTGGTTGCTTGCGACGATGATCGGGGTCAAGGATCCCGCCGGTGAGCATTCCCCATCCCTCAACAATATGTCCCTGGGCGCCTTCCGAGAGTCTGATCCAAGGTTTCTGTCAGTATCTGAAACCCTGCATCCTGTGGAGGATCCACAGACTTGAGCGGCGTATCTAGAGGAAGCTGGGAGGCGGACTCCTGAAGAACCAACTGGCTCTTCTCCATCATCGTCGTCTGTTTAACATAATATAAAATATTAATTTTAAATATTCATATAATTCCTGGCTCTTCCACTGCTTATGCCTCTCAGCAAAGAGTCTATTGATGTACGCCAACATCTCGTCGTCAAGGTCCTCCAAATTGTAGTTCATCTGCAATAAATTCATTACATACATGAAGTATTAAAAATATATAAAATGTGAAGGGAAAACAATTCAAAAGTAAGAAACATACCAACAGTTGGGAGCGCATCGCTATCCGCATCTCGTCAGGCATGGCCTTCCAAGACTTCCATTTCATCGGGTAATGGGTTCGAACGACGTGACCAATGCATCTGCCAAAATTTTGTGCGACGTAGAAGACACTTCCGTCGCGCAAAATCTCATTGCGTGACAACAGAATGCGTCGCGCAAGGAATTTCTTTTATCATCGTTAAAAAGTTTTGTTCCGTTACTAGATGTCCGAATGTTTGTTTGTTTCGATTTTTGGGGTATACGATCTCACAGTACATACAAACACGTTTGATGGTTGGATCGTTGAAACTAGTTTCGCAGAATGCATATGTCATCCAAACAATACATTATCTAACAATGAAGAGTTTATTTATACTTTCGTTAAATTTAACGTAAGATTTTGTGGTATTCACCAGTGTAAATCTTTTAAATTGAAGATCAGATTCAGTCACTGTATTTATATAGGGTGACGGAGTGTACCTGTAAAAAATCATCTCAATCGGGGTTAAAATAACTGTTAAATCATGATTTGTTGTTTATAACCATTGAAAAGTTTTGTGATGTTTGTAGGTCTATGAATGTTTTTTTTTTTGCGATTTTTGAGGTATATGATCTGGCAGCATATACAAACACGTTTCACGGTTCGATCGTTGAGACTAATTTCATAGAATGCGTATGCCATAAAAACAATATATAATATATAAATACTAATACTATACGCGACGAAACAGGTTGTCTTCATCGCTCAAAACTTGTGCGACGCCAAGATGTCATTGGTCGCGCAAAGTGTAAACCCCAGGGACTTTTTTATTCTCCCAAATAATTCCCGACTGTTGTGCGACGAATCCATGCCCTTATTCGTCGCGCAAACTGTAAACCCAGGGACTTTTTTATTCTCCCAAATAATTCTCGACTGTTGCGCGACGAATCGGTGCACTTCTTTGTCATGCAAAGTGTAAACCCATGGACTTTTTATTCTCCCAAATAATTTCGGCTGTTGAGCGACGAATCGGTGCACTTCTTCGTCGCGCAAAGTGTAAACCCAGGGACTTTTTTATTCTCCCAAATAATTCTCGACTGTTGCGCGATGAATCGGTGCACTTCTTCATCGCGCAAAGTGTATACCCCAGGGACTTTTTATTCTTCCAAATAATTCCCGACTATTCCGCGACGAATCCATGCTCTTCTTCGTCGTGCAAAGTGTAAAACCAACTTTTTTTATATAAAAAAAAGTAAAAGAAATTATTGCCAAAAACGTCATGACTTTAGGATTTAAATGAAGGTATAGCTCGTATTTATGTCGTAATTAAATTTAAAAGTAATTAATTTAAAATGTATGAAATATTTAACTAAAATCATTGAGAAGCTTACGATTTGTAAAATAAAATTGAAATTAAGGCATAGGAATACATGGAAATTAGAATGAGAAAATAAAACGATATATCGTCGCTATCATGGCAAGTCACAAATAAATTACATTATTTACATGGAAATTCGCAAATAAATTACATTATTTACATGGAAAGTCGCAAATAAATTACATTATTTACATGGCAGGTCGCAAATAAATTACATTATTCATCATCTGAACCATAATAATCTTCGTTACTGTCGCTATCATCACCTTCGGTCTCCCAATCGTCCTCCTCCTCCTTTTCATCCTCCTCGTCCTCCATAAGTACATCATCATCGTTGTTTGGGCCCACGGTTGGATCGTATCGCGGAAGATCACCGAGGTCAATTGTAATTGACTGAATTGGTATTTCTCTTGAAGACACTCCTTCAAGCTGAAACGGTTCTTGTATAACATTTGAATCTAGAAGTGTTTGTGCATCATTTTCCATGGAAGATTCCAAACGTTGGTAAAAAACGTCGACGTCATTGTCAGATGGGTCTAGTTCTGGTATAGCATACACATTCCTCTGATCTATCTGCTGAACAACTTTCCAACCGTTGTCGGCTTTAGGGTCATCTAGATACACAATCTGTTTGGCCATGTTTGCCAAAATTTAAGGGTCGTCATCATACCAAGTTCTCTTAATATTCACAGATAGTAACCCATGGTCGATTTTAACACTTCCCTGCCTATTCGGGTTCGTATCAAACCATCGACACTTAAACATGATTACTTGGGATCGGTCCTTGTAAAGCAATTGCACGACAGTTGTGAGTTTGCCATAGAAATCAATGTCCGTACTTTCACATCCACCTGGGACATGGACACTGCTGTTTTGCATACACAATTTGTCATCTTGTGCAGTCCCCAAAAATTTGATGCCGTTAACATGGCAACCCGAGAATAATTCAGCGCTAATTAGAACGAATGCCAAGTTATATAACTCTTCAATGTAAATGGGGAAATTCTCTGATTTCAACTTATTCACCTAATATTATACAAAAACATTCACATGTTAGTTTGCGAAGCATAAATACTACAATATATATGTCAAATACAAAACACTTATAACTTACATATTCCAAAAACCATTGTGGAAACAATTCACGGTGTTTCTTGGAATACAAATGTGATGGATGTTCTCACTTCATCATCTCTTCATGCTCATCCAAGTATAGGATTATCCCATCACAATTGTTCAGTACGAACCAATGGGCCACCTCCATGTCATTTTTGGAAAACGCTTCTCCTTGTACAGGATCTCCAAAGGGTCGTGCGCTTTGGGCAAAAACAGAAAATTTCGCATTTCTCACACCTCTGTCATTATTGCGCTGAGGACGATTGAAAGCCGCGTCCACATCTTTTAAATACACATTCCACAAAAAGTAAGCGCCTCGTATTGAACCCAAGCCTCTATAATTGATCCTTCGGGCTTCGCTTTATTGCGTACGCTTTTTTTCAGCTCCCCGAGAAGCTTGCGAAAATAAAACGATACGATGCAAATTAGCAAGTAGCAAGCATAGGATAATTATGCATACACAAATATGGAATGATTATATACCTTTATATTGGATACATCCAACGATAGTTGACCGGACCAGCAAGCAATGCCTCTTCTGGCAAGTGAACCATCACATGAATCATACTTGTGAAGAAAGCTGGAGGGAATATCATCTTAAACTTGCATAGGACTTGGACAATGTCATGGTGCAACTGATTAATGTCTGTCCTTCGCAACGTTTTTGCCGACAATTGGGAAAAAAAATATGGATAACAATACGATTGGCTTGACTACATCTTCCGGCAATATGTGTCGAATCCCCACATGAAGTAGGCATTGCATAAAGACATGGCAGTCATGGCTCTTTAGTTCAGTAAATTTACGCCCGTCAACATTCACGCAACGTGCGATATTTGAATCATACCCGTCAGGAAACTTTACAGTCGATACAAACTTTATAAACTCTTTTTTGTCATTTGGTTTCATGGAAAAAAATGCAAGATCCCTTCTAGCTTTATGACTGTCCCTTTTCATCCATAAACCCCTTCGTATGCCCATTTTTTCCAAATCCAATTAGCTTTGATCGTGTCCTTTGTCTTCCCCTCGATATCTAGAATCGTGCCCATCAATGTGTCAAAGACATTTTTCTCAACATGCATAACGTTGAGATTGTGCCTCAATGTTAGTTTAGACCAATATGGAAGCTTAAAAAACGTAGGCTTGTGCGTCCAATTCATATGTGTAGCAGGTCTGGTCTGACTAACTGTTTTTCCAAACAGAGCAAAATCCAAACGATTAAGCTGTTCTAAGATCTCATCACCGGACCACTCTCTAGGTCTGAGGTCGTGCTCTTTCTTCCCGTCGAACTCTTTATCCTTTTCCCGCCACTCGTGGTCCCTTGGCAACCATCTCCGATGACCAAGGTAACAAACTTTTCCGGCGTGCCAACTAGAAGTCACATCTTCCTTGCAAATAGGGCATGCCATATAACCCTTCGTGCTCCACCCAGAAACCATTGCATACGTAGGAAAATCATTCACATTCCACATAACTGCTGCTCGCAAAGTGAACATCTTCCCAGTGGATTTATCGTACGTATGCACACCGTTTGTCCGTAAATCCTTTAGCTCATCAACCAACGGCAGTAAGTAAACATTGATTGACCTGCCGGGATCCTCAGTTATCAAAACAGTCATCATCATATATTCCTTTTTCATGCACTTCCAAGGCGGCAAATTATATGGGAATACAAAATCAGCCAAGTGTTGTGGTGTTGGTTTAGAACCCCGTACAGATTGAATCCGTCAGTGGCAAGTCCCAATCTAACATTTCGATCGAACTCTTTCCATGCTTCCCCATCTGCAGGATGCCGCATCACATCATCATCTACCTGTTTTTCCTTATGCCATCTCATATATGTGGCAGTATGCGTCGACATATACAATCGCTGCTACCTAGGTTTCAAGGGTAGATAACGCATGACTTTTTGTGGAATCTTAGTAATTCTATTATAAGATGTTGTTTTGAACCTCAACTCATTGCATATAGGGCATGTATCCAATGTTTCATACTCTTTGTAGAATAACATGTAATTGTTTTTGCAAGCATAAATTTGTTCATAACTCAATCCAAGACCATTCAACACCTTCTGCGCCTATCGGTGGTCTTTCGGCAAACAATTGTCCGTCGGAAGCATTCTCTTAAAAACCCCTAAAAATTAATCGAAACACAAGTTCGACATACGATACTTTATTTTTCCGTGCATTAGCTCCACAATGGGCTTCAGAACAGAAAAGTTCTCGCACCCCGGGTATAACTCTTGGTTGGCATTTTGTAACAGTTTTTCATATTGTTCGAACTCTGCACTGTCCATTGATGTAGGCACGTCATCTTCCCCCTCCCGATTGCTGCTAGTCGATGCAAATGGAAAAGCATCATTTAGAATATCCATGACTTGTTCATTAGGATCCACAATAGGTTCAACATTCTCCACTCTTGTGGCCCTTGAAGACTAAGCAATGTCTAATTGTTCCTCTTGATAGGTCCAAGTGCTATATGTCTCAATCATTCCATTCCTTACCAAATGAAATTGAACATTTTCAATTGTCTCACACAACGTATTGTTACACCTCCGACAAGGACAACGGATTCTAGTTGCATTTGGGTTGTGTGTCCGTGCAAAGGCAATAAAATCCTCGATTCCATCCAAATATTCATCCACGCACCTATTCGGGTTCTGTATCCACCTCCTGCTCATAATTCCTGGAACCACAATCACAATACAACAATCATGTTGTATTCGTACAAAATCATAATGTCACCTTATGCCTCCGGTAAGGGCCCTATCCCATTCGGGAATGCATAGTCATATCACATAATTTACGGCTACATGAGATTAGATTTCGACGTGGATGAATTTCAGCAGCATCTCGACACAGTTCTTGAGGTGTACCGTAGGTATAAAATACCTACGTACCACCCGAAGAACGTATCGAGATGACACTGAAATCTCCACAATTGAAACCTAATCCTGCAGCCGTAAATTACGTGACACGACTATGCATTCCCAAACTGTCCAAATAATGGGACAATTCAAGAATTAATTGGACCGCAGTCACGCTTTCGCATCCATGCGCGAAATCCAACTAACCTTGAACGGAAAACTAAGTTTGACTTTAAAAAATGTACTAAGTTAATTTCAATTAACTTCGTACATCAACGTGCATAAATTTAACAACATAAAATAAATATAATTTCACAAAACAATTTAAACATAATGTAATTAATTTTATATTTTTAAATTATAAAACGACAAAAATACCTTATCAATCGTTCTCCAGTAATCGCTAATCACATATAATATCCCTATAGACAACGAAATTAATGGTGTCAGTATAAATTTACATTAAAACTTTTACACTAACGACAAAAAATACATACCCAACGAACGTAGCAGAAGCAAAGACAGTTCAACTCATAAACGAAATGAAATTGATGAGTTTTGTTTGACGAAATCGTTCGAGGGAGAGGCAAGCTGCAATTTTTTTTGCAGTTTGCCTCTGCAATAGCTGAAACCGATGAAGTAAAGGACGAAGATTTGCGCGACGAACACTCGCGCTGAACAAAATAGTCGTCCCGCAAACACATAACAATTTTCAGGACAAAAAAAATTTCTTCGTCGTGCGAAATTCGTCGCGCAATTACAGTTTTCGTCGCGCAAGGTTTTGCCGACATCGAACGTTGCGTGACAATAAGAATATTTTTCGTCTCTCAAGTATTCGTCGCGCCAAGTCATCCTTTCGTCGCGCAAGATGTTGGAACGTTTTTTAACGCGACGAAAATTATTCGTCGTCAAAGAGTAAGCGCGACAAAATAAAATATCTCGTCGCGCAGGAATTTGGCTCAAAAACCTAAAACCCGCGTTTTTCTTCCCGCTTTTTTTTGCACGACACCAATAACTTTTGTTGCGCAAAGAGATCTTTTGCGACGACATTTGTTGTCGCGCAAGGCTTTAGTGCCAAAAGAAAGTTTCCCGGGTTTTTTCCCTAGCTTTTTGCGACGATATAGTTTTTTGTCGCTCTAAGTCTTTTTGCACGACGAAATTTTGTCGTCACTCGATTTTGCGCTACGAGTGGTATGTTTTGTCGCGCAAGGTTTGTTAGCGCGGCGAATTTGTCTTCGTCGCGAAAACTCATGTCGCGCAAATAGTGAAATGTACTAGTGGCTGGTCCTAACCCAAGTCTGGGCCCCAGCCCATCGAGGAGATCATTCACCCAGTCAACAATTACCATTTATTTTCCTCGTGTAGTTGTATTATGGAGGAATACACACTCTCTCTCTCTCTCTCTCTCTCTCTCTCTCTCTCTCTCTCTCTCTCTATTTTACAGCATTAGTTAAAATTTAAAATTATGAGATTGCACATCTCAAACATTCCTCCAAATTCTAATCATGATTTAATAGCAAAACTTCCCAAATAATTCCCTTTTCGCGAGTCTACCAACACCATGCATCCATTATCGATGCATATTCCATCTATACCATTCTATACCCATTTATGAGCTCCACGTATGCATTAGCTAAGTGCACCACGTCTCATTTTTAAATTTATTCAGGTTCTTTGCTTAATCTGCTTGTCGTTATGGTAGAGTCGAACAATAGATGACGGTCATATATTCCTGCAAATATATATGTTATTGTCCTTGATTAGCTGTCTTTACCAAACTTGAAGTTCTTTATGAGTTTTTAGAGTTCTTAGCATTATAGCAGGCACCGCTTTTGTTGACAAATGAAGTATAAAATCTAAAAGCAGTAGGGCCTGGCAAGAATCATGCACACTTACGACTAGAAAATCATCTTATGATGCATGCATATGCAACCAAATTTGTTATAAAATGGCAATAATCATGCACGCATCTTGGATCACTTGAATGTCTGTTCCTGTTCATGACTTGATCTCTTAATTATACTTGTTTATTAATCCATGTTTGGGTAAGCCGTGCCCATACAAAAATATTGACTTCAATGTCGTGTCCAAACTCAACCACCAAGGCGCACACCATGTCAACTATATAAGCTTCCCTTCCCCCTGTCCTCTCTATTAATTGCACTTTAATTGTAATCAACAATCCAAAAGCAAGGCAAGATGGCAATGTTGTTAATGGGGTCGCAACATGGAGACATGGTTGATTATTCATCATCATCCAAGGCAAACTCACCACTTTCAGTCATCTTATTCATTCATAAGGCGATATGTAATGAGCTTGATGTGCTTCACCAGTTGGCAATGGGCTATGCCATGGGACAACATGCAGCATTTTTGGAGCGGTTTCGTTTTCTCCAATCAATTTATGAGAGCTACTTAAATGCCAAAGATGAGGTACGTACAGCTTCCAATAGATATGTACCTATGTGATTTAGTAGATACATTTAGAGAAAAACTTGTGTCTCTGTCAAGTGACATGTTGACTTACTTCCAAGTACCGTCAAGTTAAAACATGTAAACAGAACATGTTTTAACCATGCGGCCGGGTGACTCCCTACCCAATTTTTCTATTATATTTGGGGGTTAGTGTTGTGAACAAATTTTGGAATTGCAGGTGATATTTGCAGCTGTTGATACGCGCGTGAAAAATATAGCACCAACGTACTTCCTTCAACACGTCGGTGAAAGGACTGTTCTTGATAATCTGTCTAAGCTGCAAAGTTCTAGCATACAAAATGAGGAAACTTTCTCAAGGGAGTTGGCGTTTCTTACAGGAGCCTTACAAACCTTGGTTGGTCAAGGCTTGGCAAAGGAAGAGGAGCAGGTACGGTTTTTGTTTTTTATTTTGTTGCATTCTATAATGATATTATGCAGTATTAAAACTCTTCAACTATCACCAGTCAATGATATGCGTTTTCCTTTCTTTTCCACTTGGGGCCAAAAAAAATAAAAAGGAAAGGCATATCATTGACTACGAAATTGAATTAAAAGTTTCATGTCAAATGGCACGTGTTTTACTGGAAAATAAGAAAATGGAAGATCAAGAATCAAGATATATATTTTAGTGTATGATAGATTAGTTAATTCATTTGTGACACAGGGTTTTTGTTCTACGCCATTGTTTTCTTATAACCTATAATAAATACCAGCGTGGCACCACGTCTTAGTTGACTAAAAACAGTGAAGAATATAAGATGATGCGTCTGGTCTACTAAACTACTCCATCGAGGACAGATTTCCCTAATTTAACAACTATATATGAGATCTGTGCATCTCTGTGGAGAGTGACTGAAAGAGAACGGTTGTAATTATAAACTAGTATTGGTGATTACAATTAGATGACTTCTCGTTTGGGACTGCTTTTGTAGGAAGCTTGCTCCTGATCGCTTTTTTAGAAACATTTCTTTATACTAAAGATCCAAGTCTTGGAAATGAATCATGAAAAACCACTTAGTTGTGAGAAACACTTCTAGTTTTTCACATAAATGCTATCAGGAGTGCTTTTAGTTGTCAGAAAACACTTTTAACCCTTTCAAAAATAATTTATGATTTTCTATTTGGCTGATTTTGTTGCGTGGATGATTTATGAGGTGAACCCAAAAGTCACTCGTATGAAATTTTCCACTCTATATAATAATCATAATCACATCACTTTCGGCAATGAAAAATGCTATTTCTCACAAAGAAAGTCTATTACTAACGTCATGCTTTCAAAGTTTATTATAACGACACATACGTACACGTCTGTGCACATATATGCATGCACCCTAGTGAATCAATTGTGAGTATGTGTTGCAGTACAAGATAAGTTTATGTCTCACGCTGAGCTTTGTGTATTTGCAATATGCGTATGTATAATGTTCTTATAAATGTCTATCAAGTTTTTTTTATATTTTTTTTCATATGCTGGAAATTGAAGTGACAATATTATAACCTTTTTGTTTGTCTTTTCAATACATCAGGTCTTCCCTTTGCTTAATCAGAACTTCTCAGTTGAAGAGCAGGCATCTTTAGTCTGGAAGCTTTTATGCAGCATCCCAACAAGTGTAGTGGCTAAGTTCCTCCCCTGGTTGTCATCCTCGATTTCGCCTGATAAATATCAGGATCTGCACAAGTGCTTGAGCAAGATAGTACCAGAGGAGAAGCTTCTCCAACAGGTTATCGATTTTTTCACTGCTAATTTAAAGCTAGCTTTGTATTCTTTCAGGTTGTTTTTGACCAAGTACATGCAGCTGATTACATCTTTTGTTTATTGAAGGTCATTTTTTCCTGGATGGAAGGGAAAGACTCTCCGGCAAGCATGATATCTCCTAAAAAAGATGGAGCATATTCTGTATCTGAGTTCACTGGAGAGCATCCAATAGATACTGTAATGCTTTGGCACAATGCTATTAAAAGAGAGTTGAATGAGATACTTGAGGAGGCCAAGAAGATACATATTTCTGAAGCATATGACCCATCGGTTTTCAGTGACAAGCTACATTTTATTGCTGAAATTTGCATCTTCCACAGGTCCTCTAAAACATTAGCTTGTTTTACATTATTTATTTATTTATCAAAATAATTCTTAATTTTTTGACACAAATGCTTTGATTAATTTGCAGCAATGGATTTTATACCCTCTTCTTTCATTTGAAATACTGTTTCGTTTTCTGTTACAGTGTTGCTGAGTCCAAGGTCATATATCCTGCAGTATATGGAAAAAATTTATCTTTCCAGGAGCACTCAAAAGAAGAAGGTGTTTTCAATCAGTTTAGGTGCTTGATTGAAAGTATACAGAAGGCAGGAACAATCTCATCTTCAGTTGCTGAACTTAATTCAAAGATATGCTCACATGCTGATCAAATCATGGAAACTTTAAAGCAGCACTTCCATGATGAGGAAGTTCAGGTGAGATCTCTTAATTGATAAAATAGCTTTTGGAAAGTTATGCAGCATGCTCCCTGTAATTGTGCACCAGTAGAATGAACCAAAGAGAGACATAAACAAAAAAAATTATTTACAAGTTTTGTATATGATGCATGAAAGTGACTGGCAGATGACCAAATTTCCAAAAATATTCTTATCTACCCTGCTTCTAATAATGTAAAGATGGTACCAGAAACCCTATGCTTCTTTACTCTTTGCTCTCAATAATTACTACTGCATGACTACAACCTGTAGCACTAAACACCCCTTTTGATTCCTGAAAGCATCAGCTGTGCTCTGTCTGTCTAGGTCCTTCCACTTGTGCGAAAGCACATTAGCATCACAAGACAACGGGAACTTCTGCATCAAATATTGTGTGTGATGCCCTTGAGATTGATTGAGAGTGCCTTGCCATGGATGGTAAACTCAATGACTGCAAATGAAGCCAGGAACTTTGTCAAAAACATGCAGCTGGCAGGTTCTGTATCTTTCACTTTTATGGCTAGTTGTGGCATACATACTTTTCTATTAGTTTATTGTTACATAAATTTTTTTACAAATTTGTTTGATACAGCACCAGCATCAGATATTGCTCTGGTCCAGCTCTTTTGTGGTTGGGCTAGCAAGCCATTTAATGGCAGCTTCTGCTCAAGTGCAATAGGATGCTGTTATGTCAAAAGGTTCGGTAATCATGATGAAGAATTTGGTCAATCATCACATACCTGTGCTTCTGTAGTGTCGACTAGAGACATCTGTTGTGCTGAATACCAAGAGAGCAATGCTTCCAACTCTCATGGGTCCTGCTGTATCCCTTGTCCAGGACTAAACATTAACAATCTGGGAGTTAGCTCCTTCTCTATGGTTAAGTCAAGTAGTTCCTTGCATCTCAACTCCATTGCTCCATATCATTCAGTCTGGGAAACATATAATAGCTTTTCGGCTACTGGACTTACAGAACAGCCAATTGATGTTGTTTTTCAAGTTCATAAGGCAATACGCCGTGACTTGGAATATCTAGACGATGAATCTCAAAGACTCAGCAATTGTGATGAGACATTTCTTCAGCAGTTCATTGGATGTTTCTGCTTGTTAAGGGGCTTATATAAAGCTCATAGTGATGCTGATGACTATATAGTGTATCCGGCATTGGAATCCAGAGATGCACTTCATAATGTGAGTCACTCATACACACTGGATCACAAGCAAGAGGAACAGGCATTTCAAAATATTTCGGGTGTTCTGTTTGAGCTTTCACACCTTCACGCAAGTACGATAGGTTTTTCTAGTACCCAGTGTAGTGAGTCTACTGACCGCGTGGAAAAGTACTATGAGTTAGCTATCAGTGTTCATGTAATGTTCAAGTCACTAAGAACGATGGTAGACCAGCATATGTCCAGGGAAGAGCTTGAACTATGGCCGCTATTTGGGAAACACTTCTCTGTGGAGGAGCAAAACAAAATGGTTGGTTTCATACTGGGGACTACAGGTGCTGAAGTGCTAAAATCTATGTTACCATGGGTAACTTCAGCACTTACTGCGGATGAACAGAGTAAAATGATGAATAACTTCAAGCAAGTTACCAAAAATACAATGTTCAACGAATGGCTTACTGAATGCTGGAAGGAAACTTCATTCTCAACTTCACAGACTGGAAAGCTTGAAACTAGGATTTCTCCAAAAGGTTTGTGCTTGAAAATGCTGCAAACATGCAGATATCCTACATTGGTCTTGTTCCCTTTTGCATGATTCTATATTTTTGTTAATTCAATATGCTAAATTTCAAGGAAGCCTGCGGCGAATTGATCACACATTCAAGTCTCGTAAGAAGAATAACTTGAAGAATCTAATGACTAGGTTAGTATGTTGGTAACTAAGTGCTTTAAGATTTCTAAAATTATTATATTGTGCATGAAACATAATGATTTAATTAACTATTCATGCCCAGGTCATATTCTCTATTTATAAACTACTCATCTTCTATCTTAGTTACTGGATGGCTGCTCAGCAGAGTTTACCTCGGGCCTTAGCAGAGGATAGATTTGACGGTGACGATTCAGTGGGACAGTCACCAGAATTTCGAGATCCTGAGAAAAGAGTGTATGGTTGTAAGCATTACAAAAGGAACTGCAAACTCCATGCTGCTTGCTGTGGCAGGCTGTTTACATGTAGATATTGCCATGACATGAGCAGCGACCACACAATTGATTGGTAATTTTCTGGTGATATAGTTTCTTGTCAAGTTGAGCCATTCTATCTAGATGACATTTTATTATTTTTACTGCAGGAAAGCAACAACAGAAATGATGTGTATGCAATGTCTTAATATTCAGCCAGTCGGGCCAATATGCTCGACGCCTTCTTGCAACGGATTCCCAATGGCAAAGTCTTATTGTAGTACATGCAAACTTTTTGATGATGACAGGTACTGAAGTTTATTCGAAAATTTGTTCTTGTAACTTATCAATTATTCAAGCGAATAGTTTTGAAGGGTGCGAAATAATAAGATTTGCTTATCAGGAAACTTTGTTCTTTATGCAGATGATACTCTCCTTTATATCAGTAGACAGCAACTATTTTCTGGTTTAATATCAGTTACTTTTTCTTTCTCAGGAATGTATATCATTGTCCATTTTGCAATTTATGCCGTGTTGGGAAGGGCCTCGGCATTGATTATTTTCACTGCATGACTTGCAATTGTTGCTTGGGCATCGGTTTGGTGAACCACAAGTGCAGGGAGAAATGCCTAGAAACTAACTGCCCTATCTGCAATGAGTTCTTGTTCACATCAACTGCAAGCATTAGAGCTTTACCATGTGGCCACTTTACGCATTCAGCTTGCTTGGAGGTCTTTATTTATCTCACATGAAAACAATACATGTTTTACTATTCTTTTTCTGTTTTCTCTGTTATTGAATAAAGATTTAAGAATAGTCATTGAATTAAATCTCACACATTCTTATGTCTGGCTAGGCCTGCTCTCAGAGTCACTACAGTTGTCTAGTCTGCAGCAAATCTTTGGGAAATATGACGGTAAGAGAGTTCATAGGCTTATTATGTTCAATGCCTGATTCATTTCCTTTGATTCTATTCTAGTTTCAGAATGCTCTCTTTATTACTGTTATCTATTTTAACCGTGGACTATCATGTAGATGGCATCGGCTCAGTCCTCAATTCTGGTTGGTGGAGATGAGACCATGGAATTTTCCAACTGTGATCGAAGAGATCAAACAAAGACTTCATGGACTAACACAAATCCTGAAGGAAGATTCATTGCCCGCGCATGGTTTTGGGTAAGGCTAAACTTGCTTAGTTGATGTATCGTTTCTTTTTAACGTGCATAATCAAACATGAAAGAATATTTCTTTCTTTTGGCTGCAGGTAAATATGCTGTATCATTCAGTGTTACGGTTTGAACTCCACAATGTGAAGCATCCTCGGTTTCTGCAAGGATTAAAAAGAGGGTTGGAGAATGCAGTTGCAGGACAGAAGACCAAAGACAGGTTCCTGATGTGTTGCCTGGCGCTGTGCGTTTTGGTGCTGTTTTGTGTCTTAAGTGCTGTTCTAATTTTACTTTGGTTCAAGGCATTGGGGAGGAACAAGTACAACATTTTCATGTGGTAGATTGTGACATCTCTTTCCCAGAGAAGAACTCAAAACTTCAGTTTTCAGATTTTTTTTTGTCCAATAAAGTCCCTTGTAGTAGGCGAATACCGGAGTTCGAAATTCTGATTTTCGTTTGACGAGTTTGAAGGTAGCAAACCTTTGTATATGAGGTTTGGGAATTAAAGTCCTCAAAGTGTGCAAACTGCGGATATTGTAATAAGGCATTTTTGGCATGTCTTTAGAATATGGATGTCCATGATTGCATTACCTACTTTAAATGGACAACTTTTGATTTTGACACATTTTCGACAGTAGTTTTTATTTTGGTAATGGAATAAGAATGTTACTGGTGTGAGAGGCTCGAGTCATTCGCATATGGGACTGATTTGTGTCATAGGTGAATCAGTGATGCATCAATAAGCAAGGTAACGGTGGGCCGGTTAATACATAGTAGGTAGACCATATGTCATACTATGATATGGATCTTAAGTTATTTGGCTTGTGTTAGGATAGTTAGGTCTTTTACTTGATGGAGGAGTGTTGAATTGGTGTCGAGTCGAGCCTATAAATAGAGGAAATGTGTAGTTTAGTTGAGTTCTCTACTACTGATGGAGGAAATGTGTTGGTATACTTCGTATATAAATAGACGCAATGTATGTCGAGACTCGAGATGTAGTACACCAGATAGCGAGAAGTCCCCGGAGTGTATATCAGAAAAAATATTTTTATTTAATATTTGTTTTCCAATCAATTTAACTATTCCATTAGGCCACATACACAAACTCAAAGAATTCTTTGAAAAGTCATTAAACAGAAGACGAAATAAGATGGATGCATAAATGGTGGCATGCGTGTACAGACTCAGTCACCTTCAATAAAATACAGAAACCTGATGAGGATACACAGACAATTAAGAAGAGGGCCCTGACTTCAAAACCTTTCTACAAAAACCACTATTCACTAATAAGCTTCACACTGAATAACTAGCAATGGCATGCTACTATCTGTACATATTAGGTCGAAATTGATCGTAAAATGAAAACCGATCTGTTGGTGCCCCAACTGGCTTTCTCGGAAGGGCTCTTGTTAGTGCTTCATCAGAGGTTATCCATGGTGTTCGGTCTGGAACAGAGGGATAGTTGGGATAGGGAGGCTGGGCATATCTCAATGAGGGTAACCCCATATCAAAGGAAGGATCAAAATGTGGCTGCAGCATAGAAACTCTTGACCCAGACTCTGCATAGGGGCCGCTAAGAAATCTATTATCAGCAGGAAAATTTGATCTAGTATCAACGGAAGGACTAGTGACAAATGGTTCAGCAGCATTAGCGGGAAAGTTTGGTCTACTCTCAACATAAGCATTGGGGATGAATCGATCAGTAGCATTAGTAGAAAAAGTTTGTCTTGTCTCAATGTAGGGACTGGGGACATATCTATCCGCAGCATTCATGGAAAAGGTAGGTCTCGTCTCAACAAAAGAGCTCGTAACAAGTGTTTCAGGACTATACCTTCCAGACCAAGAAGAACCAAGGAAGCTACTTTGGGTCGCAGCTTCTTCAACTGCAAAATCAGTTGGTAGTCTAAAAAGCCCAGCACAACCAACAGGAATCTCTACTCTGTCTCCAGTTTTCATAGCAGCAGGAATAGACGGTTCAATGGATTTATGTACAGATGTACCGTCTACTAGTGGCAATCTAGTCATGTTCTGTTGTAGTGATAGCTTTGCTTGTTTAAGTGCATCCAGTACACCACCCAAACTATCCTGCGAGTTATGAGGCACCAATGCATATAGGTCACTTCTGCTCCCTGAAGCATTTCCTTTATGGAAACCACCACCTGCACCAGAAGAAGAGGCATCTGATGAGCGGTTGTGGGCTGATCCATGCACGAGTGGGTTAGGATGGGAGCCATGTGAAGGATGACGAGCATAGTTTTCTAGGCTCTCATGATTTTGCTTTCCATTTTCGGTAGGGAATGCAAATTCTTCAACTTGTGACGGAGCAACAGTGCTTTTATTCAGCTGATCCGGTAACCCTCCCGTATCTACATGTGAAGCTGGTAGGAAACCATTTTGCTGAATTTTGAATGTTTCCTTAGGGAGGCAAACATCTCCTTCCTCTGACTTTGTCTCTTGACCTTGGGCAACCACCACCCCAGCAGAAAATGGCGTTTGAGCCTTGGTCTCATCTCTTTCCTCAGTGATATCTGAATGGTTCCCAGGGTCACATGAATCCTATATGACCAAAAACTCACCAGGTTTAGTGCATTAAGATTCCAAACAAGAGGATAATTAATGAAGTGACTTCCTAGGTACTGAAAAAAAACAGTTACTGACTAATGCAACCAATGACTGTTTAGAAACAAATGCTACTTGTAGCCAACCAGACATCATGAGGAGAACAACGCCTACTGTATGTTCATTTCCAGACAGGTTAAATTGGTTTCATCTTATTTAAACCCAAAGAAAGTCCTCACTCATACACAAAATACATATCTTTAGAAGACTTGAGGCTAATGCCGTATTCATCAATATTCATTCCCAAAATAATCGCTAGGAGCAAGCGCCTCAAAGCCATGAAAACAAAATACAAAGCTTATGGTAAAGTTGTCTATTTTAAGCAGGATACCATAAAACACCAAGCTAACATTGAATTAACAGGTAAATTCTTGGTTGACTATCACTTGACAGAAACCTGAAAATACAACCTGTTAACACAAATAATAACAGCCAACTTAGCCTCAAACACAAATTACTCGAATTTGACATGAAAAACATGCATAACTAGTCCTGTATGAAGCTAATATTTTATTCCATACCTTCACCTAGTACTGTAAGCAACTGACTAGATTGTTTTCATTTTCCTCTTTATGGGAACACAGGCAATGGGTATGTTTATAGATCAAGGAGAGAATTAGTATTGAGTTTCCAGTTCACAATGTAGGTGTCAACCCAAAAATAAAAACAAACTCCATTAATAAACATTGAGCAGAAGAGGCAGCAGTTATCTCTGATTATCCAGGTTCTGTTTATGATATTGTTGAGTGAGAGTTTGGTGATTAACATGAGTCAGATGTTATACTTGTTGATGAACCTTTGGATCACTTGGAAGATAGACTGCTGAATATACACCTTCCTCATGTATTTTATTGTAGCTTGACAATTGGAAATTTATTACAGTAATTGGTTGAAAATTAGGAAAACATTTTCCAAAGAGTTTGATAAGTAAAGAAAAAGGTAAGAATTTTATATACATATATATATATATATATATATCAGAAAAGGAATCGATACAAGGTCTCGAAGATAAGGTCATACAAGAAATTCCTGAATTCATTGTGAAGACGACCCCATAACCCTAAAGTCCCAATTCCTGTTGCAATTAGTGATAATAAAGTGATGAGTGTGCCATTGATGATATTTTGCAGAGGTAGTGATTATGTAAGTGCTGACATGTAATAGTTTTCTGATGATGATGTGGTGGCCCCTCGAATTGTTATGTGCTGTTGATAATGTTATCAATTGTGATGACTTGTATGTTCAAATTTCAGCTTAAGGAGATACATAAGTTCAGTTTTTAGCTTAAAGAAATAAATAAGTTCTTCGGAACTAAGTGACTTCAACCAATTAAATGCTGATTGACTATCAAGCATACTCTAAACCTAAGCTATTCAATACCAAACAAACAGTTGAAAATTATGATGTTTTGAAAACACTTTAAAGAAACATGTGCTGAATTATATTGCATCACTTAAATAGGTCAAGCATGCCAAAAAAAAAAGGGAAAATGGTGCAATCATGCTCAATTCAAGAAGACTAACATATGGCCTAGCACTACATAGTCCAGAAGGGCATATATTACAAGCATTAAGCTGATATGCAGAACAACAGTGATAAGTTTTTAAGTCAACGAAAAAGCATTTCCATGGTCTATGACATCAACAGTTTCAGATAAAGCATACCGGTGTACTGGTGTTATTTTCTCTAAACTTCTCTTCCCATTCTCTTTGAGCCTTTTCCATCTCTTCATTTTCACAAATAAGTTTCGCCTGATGTTCTAGTGCTTTTTCCATGTCTTTGTCTCTTCCATGCCCATTGAAATCCAGGTCACTATCTCTTTGATTTTCTTTGGTCCTTGAGAGTGAATCATTGGATAAAACCTTCTCTTCTGGGAATTCAGAACCTTCTCTCAACTTCTCAGGTCCACCATTTGAGAAATTTGGAAGCTCTTCTGAAGAAGCACCAACTCCATTTTCATGAGAATCAAACTTGTCTGATCTGAAAATTACAATCAAACCATCATACTTAAAACTAAGAGTTATAAACTTATAAAGAGCTCACGCACCAAAAAGTTTCACCTGGAAAATCTGTTTTCTTTCTTTATTTTCCATTTCCAAATTTATATATTGTATTATATTGTTGGAAGAATATCATATAATAATAACTTTATGAACATTATGATGTAAATCTAGCATGGATTGTATATCAGCGACTGCAGTGTTTATAACGCAACAGATATGAAATGACAACCCAGTTAACACCTTTCAGACTGTTACATATAGTTGAGGCTGCCTCCATTTATTAATTATTGAAAAAAATATAACATTCCAAAATCTTTTAATTGGATTACACTCTCTTGTCTTTTGTTCCTTGATTCTCATATAGCATTAATCATGTTTCCGTTTAAGAAAGAAATCAAAGCTTATATGCCCAGTGTTTTGGCTTAAGAAAAAGACAGACAAAAGCTATTGTTAATTGATTTACTTTCTCGTATATCCATACAGTCCCCTTATATTTTATATCCTATAGGTCGATCAGATATGGATGGTTAAGGTGCGCAAAAGGTGTTAGAATTTTATATGCATATCAACCGATCAAATATGATTGAGGGACGAATACACAAGTCCTTACTTTCAACTTCTTTCAATCGCTTTCAAGTGTGTATATATATGGAATCTCATTAAAGAGGATCATCCGGTTTTAAGAAAATAAATTACCACATTATGGGATCACCCTCCCCATAGAAA